CTGGAACTTACATGCAATTTTTAAAATAAAAGTATTTACTAAATAAAAGTGTTTATAGATTTATGCAAGTTTATTTTTCAATATTCATTGTAAAGACAGAAAGTCAAAGAGTAGAGTCAGGGCTCAACAGGCTGTGACTTAACATGGCATTTTTAGAACTGGTATTAGGTTAATTTCCCAGATTGTGTGGAAAGGAAGAAATGTGGCTATGAAAAGAGACAGCTTCCCATAGGCTATTCAAAGAACCATGCCATGCCCAGGAGTCTGCAGTGGGACATTTTGGAGCATTTCTTCAGACACCTCCATTTGTGACTTTGGGGGAAGCAGTGTCTGCAGCAAACCCTACTCTGGGTTCAAAATTATTGACCTTTAATTTCTTTAACTTCCAGATTTCTTTGAGGTTTACAGAGTTAGAAACCAAAGAAGATTGTTGCTCATACTTTTGATGTGTTAATTCATACAGCCCTCATCTGACTTATAGTTTACCTTATCCCCATTTTACATCTGAGGAAACTGAGGCACAGAGAAGCTAAATAACTCACCAGTGTCCACACAGCTAGGAGGTGGTGGCGGCAGTATTATGAGGCAGTCGTAACCACTAAACTAACAGGCAGAATGGGCACACACCACTAACAGCCTCTAAACTGTGCCTCCCCAAAGCCAGACCAATGATACATTAAACCTAAGTAAGATCTAATAAGACAGTTGCAATGCCAACAACAGCTTTAAGACCAAACCACTTCCAACTAAACTCCTGTCCTTAACTTCCTCTGTGCAGAAATTATGGAACCCCTGCTACCACTCCCACTGCAACCCTAGCTTGTCCTATGTTTACTACTAACATAGAATGCTCGAATCCAGAAAGTACCATACCTATGCCCACTGTTATATTTCAGAATGCAAATCATAATTCTATGGTTCTGTGTTCCTCAAACAGTGAAACTGTCTTCTCAACTCCCTAACAAATAGCACACAGTATGGGACATAATAATTGTTCAGAACTTTACTTCTAATACCATACACTATGCAAACAGCTCATATATTCCTAATTTGAGGCTACGTGAACAGGTTTGTTCCTAACTGCCACAAATGCAAAAGTCAAACTAAAAAAGAAGACATAGGCTAAAAGAGCAAGGCAAGAATGCTGGCTCAAGCCCCATCCCCGCATGCTTCCCCATTATCATCTTGAAGTGGCTGCTGCGTGTAGTTTTAATGTTTCTTCTGAGAGTGACTCCCTCTGCTGCTCCAGCAAAGCCATGACCTAAATCAGAACAGTGCTAAAGGCAGTTAGGGCACTGTGGCAATTTGCACTAACTGAAGAACCTAGCATACATTAAAGAACAGTTATTTTTAAGTCTCAACAGTAATTCTAAATATGCCATAAGGGTTTGCCTAGGAGAGCTGGATACCTCTTCCATATCCTTAGGAGGGTTGCTTAACAAGCATCTAGTATGAATTCTGATGGGGACAACCAGACTACAACAGGAGACGCTTTAGGGCTCTGTCTTGCTGAACATGGAATCCCCGGGATCCAGAACACAGAAGGCCAGGAAGTCAGTAAATGTTAACAATTTAATGGTTCCTCAGTCTTTGCAAGTACTTGAAAAGTTTGTTCTCTGAAACCTTTTAAGTATCCCCTAAGCTAGAAGACATGAAATTATTGTTCTAAACAAAGGTAAACTAGCTTACTTTTCCTAACTACAAATTCCAAATGTGAACTCAAGAATTTACTCTGCTCCTCAAACAGAAAAACTATATAGTATACATGTCATGAAAGTCAGTCTTCCATGCCAGTTGTCTATTTGTACCACATCACTATGCATAAAGGCATGAAAGTAATTTTTACTTATTTTCTTGGAAGAAGTATATTGTTTTAAGAAATTACAAATTATCTTACAATAATAGAGAATTATCCCAATAAAATTAGTCTTCAGTAATTTTCTGTTCTGACTTTGGTGGTGTTAACACTCATAACACTAGTTGGTGCTAGATAAGCAGAATATCAATGCTGTGTAATCCAGAAAAAAAATGCATTTCAAGAGGACACTAATTTTGAGGCAAACTGGACACACACACACAGCCTTTTCCTGGTGAAATCTTTCATTCTTGAAAGTGAGAACCACCACAAATTCCCTGGAGCTAGGAGTTCCCAGCAATCTTGAATTCAACAATCAGAACATAACCAGAAAGGAGAAAGTTGTTGCTTAAAGCCTAAAGACTATCCCAAGGACCTGTTTAAAATGACTACTGTCTTTTTTCAAACCACAGTTACAAAACAAGTACACTCACAAATAATATCCATTCTGCCTTTTTATCTTAAACATCTGTTATTTTCTTGGCTCTCTCTGAAGACACGTATTTCCTAAAACTTCCAATTTTCTAGTATCTTTCTAACAACAGAATAAAAAACCTTATCCACATTGTAAAGTGCTTATATTAACTTTCTCATCTTAATTGCATACATACTTCCGTTCATAAAAAATCCTCTATCCCCATCTTTAAGCCCTCAGCATAAGGAAATCACACCTTGAGGAAGCAACAGCATCTTTTATTTCCCTAGTGATCTAGTCCGAAGAGAGAGGAGAAAAAATAGAAGAAATTAGAAGGAAAGAAAGGTCTGAGTTCCTTATCAAACCATTATAGCAGTGTGATTCTGAGAAGAAAGTGTATTTAATAGTAGTTCAACAGAAAACAGGCTGGGAGTATGGATTAGAGTGATATTGATGGTAGCAGAAAGTAGAGTTTGGTGCTTTCTACATTTTTGACACCTAACAGGAAGACCTGGTATCCTGGAATACAGAGGAAACCAAAGATTGAAGGGATGGAATAGTGTATCTCTCAAAGACAAGATTCAAACAGTCTGTTCACCAGGAACTGAAAGAAAAAAATAAACGGAGAAAAACAGCAGTGAAATGCACAAACCCAAAAGAATACATTTAATTGTTCCACTTAAGATCAGAAGAGTTGGTTCAACCCTCAATCTTTGACTTGCCTGGTCTATGAGATGAAAAAATGTGTAAGAGGCAAACGCTCAATCTATCCTGGGCATCTTTTCTTTTAATCGCTTCTCCCCTCTTCTTTCAATATTAATCCACTTACAATCTTCTGTTTGATTATCTTTATTGATCTTTTTTCCTATCCAGTCTTTTTAATTTGGCTGTAGTAAGCTCTCGGCAGGGATCCTATATCTCCCGTTTGGCATCTTTGGGGACTTTAACTTGTCCTTTCCCTAAACAGTTCTCTCACTGCCTGGTCCCCCTTCCGTCCCCACCTCCACCCCCACCCTATAGCTCAGGCCTTTGTGCGCCCAATAACAGCAGGCGAATTCCACTGGGAGTCACGCGGTTGATTCCACAACAATTCATCAGGTTGCTCACTTCAACTTGCAAACGCCCCCTCTAAGTACCCTCAGCAGCCGTCCTGAGAACTTCTTCCAATTTCAAGAAACCTACAATAGTTTATGATTCTCAATGGGGATTCCTTTGTAAAATAGACAGATGAGCTTTAGAAATATGAATAAGAAAAGCAGGGCAAAACCTCGGGGATGGGAGGCATCTGGCTAGAAGGGAAGGATTTATGAGTGTGGCTACTTAGCTAGGCAGCAGGAAAATTTACTCTCCGAAGTAGCTACGGCTAATTCACAAAGCCTAGCTAATCACTTACCGCCCCACCCGGACCACACCAGCCTGCGCCGGGCGCCCGCCTCCACCTCCCACGCCCTCGCCCCCAGCTCCTCTGCAGATCTGCGGGAATGCTGTCGCTAACCTCCGGAGTGTTTGAGCATCTCCCGGGGAGTTGAGGCTCTCGCCGCACCTCCTCTGCTTTCCAAATTTGGAAAGAGTGTAACCGAGATGATAGGATGCCCGGATTACCTCCGAACGCTGCGGAAGCTTCCTCCACCCCCACCCTCATCCCAGGGAAAAGCTGAGCTGCCAGCGCGGAGCCAGCAACCACCACAAAACTGGGCGGCAAGACCCACGGGGGCGCTCGGCTTGGCCAGGAGGTGGAGGGGGGTCAGATGACCCGAGAGAGACCCCGGAGAGCGAAGTCTTGGCTTTCTCCTTTCGGTCTCTTCCACTCCGCTTGAAAGGGCTCGGGAGGCAGGGATTTGCCTCCATCACCTCAAACTCGCAGGGCAAGAAGAAAACGGCGGTCAGCCTCTGTGCCTCCCCTCCGCCCCTACCCACCCTTAACTCCTGGCTGAGCCCCTCTAGATCCCGGGTGTGCCCAGGGCCCCGGCCACTTATTTTTTAAAGCGCAGACGCATTAAAACGTCAGTTATAAAGTGGCCGGGTTACCCCCGGGGAGTTTCCGATTTAGTTTGAACGACCAGTCCGTTTCCTCAGAGCTGAGAGGTTTTAAGTTTCTCCGTCGCCGGCGAGTAGGGCGACCCGGAGAGGGTACGAGAGCGGGGAGGCGTGCACACCCCGGGCCTGCCGGGGGCTGGGACGCCGTCCCGGTGCCCCGCGAACCTCCACCGCGCCCAGGGCGGCCGCCGACGGGCACCGTCGTCGGAGGGTCCCCGGCCGCAAGGGACACGTTATCTTAGCTGAGAGCCCTTGGGCGTCTGGCGTGTTCAGACACTCACTGAAGATCCCGCAAACCCAGACTTGGCACAGCGCGGGGAGCCTCTGCGCATCAGAGAGCATCCGCGGCAGGCCACGCCGCCGCCCGCACCCAGGGTCGCTCCAAACCTCGGTGTGCGCGATGCACGACGACGTGTGAGTGTCGGGCAGAAAGTGCAGGAGACCCAGGCTCCCGCATGCCCAGAGGTCCACGCGTGTCCACACTCCGTGCGTCCCTGGCCCCGCTGTGCCCATCTCCGATGACAGATTAAAAATAATCATGACCAAAGCTTCCTGACTAGTTGGAAAAGTAGAATTTAAAGTGATTTCCAGTTGAGGGAAACGAGCCGAAGTAAGGAAGTCAGGAGAACTGGGGAGGAGGAGAGAAAGGAGGGAAGCCCGAGAGGCGGCCGCGGAGCCGGCGGACCCCCTTACCTTGGGCGGCCGAGCCGGTGCCGCTGGCGCTGAGCAGGGCCAGGGCAGGTAGCACGAGCATCTGCAGCACGTATCCCAGTCCCAGTCCGCAGCGGGCCGCTGTCGCCCGCAGACCTTTCCTCATCGTGGGCCGAGGTGTGCCGGGGGGAGCCACACACACAGAGGCGCGCCAACAGCCGAGAGCCCCACTGGGCTGCCGCCGAGCCGGTGCACCGCGAAGCTGTCTGAAGAAATAATGATCACCGAGCGCCACACTCCACTTTCTTCTAGGGCAGGGGCCAAAAGAGGGTGGGGAGAAGACGCCGAGGAGGAGTTTGCAGGTCCCTCTTTCCCAGCGCCTTCCAAACCCGCGGCTTCGCGAGAGGCTGCTCTGCCCCCACTTGGGAAGTCCGCGGAGGCGCAAGGCGGCCACCTCGTCGCTCCCCTCGGCAGCAGGAGCAGCCGCAGCTCCGCCGCTCGCCGAGCCTGGACTGCTCCCTGGGTCCCCTCGCCGGAGCCGAACACACACAGGCACTCGGGGGGCGGGGGGAGAGGAAGAAACGGCGAGAGGAGGGGGCGGCGGAGGGAGGGAGTTGCGCACAGTGAGGCGCTCGCGGCTCCAATCGCGAGGTTCTCCTGCGGGCGGAGAGACTTCCCGGCTGCCGCCGCCGCCGCCGCTGCTGGGTGGCCAGAGAGGGTCACCTCCTAGCTCGGGGCGCACAGGGCCGCGGAGGCGCTGGCCGCGGAGGCGAGGCGGGCCCAACCCAAGTCGGTTGAGGGGTAAGAGGCGGCGGGAGCGCGCCCGCTCGCGTTATGTAAGCGAGGGGTGAGGGAACAGCGCGCCCAGAGCCGGAGGTGGAGGGCGGCGGTGGGTTTATCTGCGGAAGCTGAGGAGAGGGACCTGAGGAAAGCCGCGGCTCGGGAGAGTGGGAGCGCGCCCGCCTCCCGCCGTGCGCCAGACCTGGACTCCGACAGCGCAGCGGGCGCGCACCGGACACTTGGCCGCGTCCAGTGGAGCCCAGCCTGCCGCCTGCCAGCTACACCCGGGGCCGCCACCAGAGCCCCGGGCTGGACTCGCCGTACCACTTCAGGTCTCGAAACTGAGTAAGCCGGGTTCGAGCAGAGCTGAAGTCCTGCGTGCCGGGGGAAAAGGCAGGAAGCTTTTGCAGTGCCCCAGTTCGCCGCAGTCTTGGGGTCGTCAACGCCAACGCCACTGAGACTGCGTTATGCTCTGGGCTTCTCTGTAGTGGATCAGTAACTGAAAGCTCAAGGAAAACTCCTTCAGCAGAGATTTGTTTTCGTGCGTCTTGGGGGCTGGCAAGGTTGAGTATGTAAAAAGTGGTGAGATGATACAGGAAAAACTCCCAGAAACAGTGCCCAAGAGAATTTGTAGATACTCACTTAAAGTGATGGTGGAACCTGTGACATGTCTTCCATATTCCTAATGGTGTGTGTAAGGACTCAAGCTGCCATGAATTTCTGTTATTATGTTTTTACTCAGGAAAGAACTGCCTGGGTAGCTAGGTTGTGGATCCCTGTTGTAATGGTGAAGGGGAAATAGAAGCACGGGTGGATAAAGTAAGGAAAGGCTGGATAAAAGGAAAGTGGATGGATTAAAAGTTCAATACACATTGACAAACTGACCTTCCAGGAAGAAGAAAACCACTTCCCAAGATTATTACATTTCTAAACTAATACTAAATAATACATCGGGCAAATTTTAAGCTCTTGTTGCCAAGGGGGCAATGGGAAAACACACACACGAGCAGGAAGCCTGTGGTCTGATCTGGCTGCGGTCCTGACTCATTCTGTTACCCTGGACAGGTCAGGTAAACTGCATGTCTTAGTTTCTTCATCTGTGAAATATTTCATTAGATGATTTCAGAGTTAACCCCACCTAAACCTCTAACCCATAAGGCCTGTCTTGGATGAGTCTGGTAGATCTGAAAAGGTCATTCTTGGCAAAGACAGTGACAAACTGGTCATTTCTTATTTCTGTGGAGGCACAGACTGCCATACTAAAACCACTTCTTTCCCTTCTTCAGCTTCCTCTTACCAAGATATTTTGGTAAGAAGATAGGAGGTGCCTGTGTCAGACTCCCTGGGTTTAATTCTTAGCATTTCTTATTACTAGCCAGAAGATGTTGAAAAATAAAGCCGAATGCCTCAGTTTCTTAATCTGCAAAATGGGTCTATTAGCAGTAACTATCTTCTAGGGTTTTGTGAGAGATAAATGTGTGAAGTGCCTGACAGACAAAATTGTCAGCTGCTGTTATCTTTGAGGAAAGATTCTCATCAGCTGCATGTTATCTAGACCAGTGCTGTCCAACAGAACATTCTGCAATGAGAAACGTGTTTATGTCTGTGCTTTTCAAAATGGTAGTCATTAGACCCATGTGGCTACTGAGAACTTGCAGGGTAACTAGTGGGAGTTTTTTCAATTGTCACGTGACTAGGGGCTACCATGTTGGAAAGTTCAGATAGGCCATTTTGAGGATGTCATCAACAGAAGGGGTTATAATTATATTTCATATTTGTCTATAATTTTTCCAAGAAGAACAGCAGCTTAAATACTAAGAAGCCCCCATATATACTCATTATATTAACAACATCTAAAATGTATTTATTCATTTGCAATTTTATTGTCTATCTTTTCTAACTATAATTTAACTCTTTGTAAGATGGATACTTTGCCTTGTTCACCATTTCATCCCTCGCTCCTAACATAGAACCCAATATATAGTTGATGCTCAATCAGTCTTGGTTGATTGATTGCCAAAAAGGCTCAATAAGGGAGAATTCCCAAGTCTAGTTAGTTAAATAGAATTAAATTGTCATATAATTCTATTTGGGTCACTGAAGTGCCCAGTGACCGGCACTGCATAAAATTAATTCTTTGAAAGAAAGTGTAAGAGGTAAGAAGGGGAAAAGTAGTTCAATACTGAAATTAAATCCACAGAGAGCAGGAGAATTGTTTGAGAAATGGTAAATAGAGGTGAGGTGAGAAAGAGAAGGAAGAGTTGGTCCATAAGAATGAGGACAGGAAAAGTACCAGTAAATCTGTCAGCTCTTCCAAGCAGGTGGCTTTTCTATAATCTATAACTGCCAAAGGAACCTGCTTTGTGTATCAACATCCTGCCTAGTTTTTTCTTCATGGAAGAGATAATGCAAGTGTTGCATATAGGCATCTGAGCTAGACAGCTAACTACTCATTTACTTAGATCTGGGCTCAAATGACACCATTTAGAGATTCCTTCTTTGATCAGCTTACCTAAAATAGCACCTACCACATCACCCTTGATTTATTTACCTGTTTTGATTTTCTATATAATACTTATTTTAGAAAACATATATGCCTGCGTTTTAAGTATACATAGATATGTATGTAATATATATGTGTGTCTGTTGGATACTATCCAATAGAATATATGCTCCTCAAGGGGATGAATTTTTTTGTTAACACTCTTCACTGATCTATACCACATGCCTAGAAAACTGCCTAGTACATAATAGGTGGTCAATAAGCATTTCTTGAATATTGAATGGATGAATGAGGGCTAATGGATCTTAAAACTATGTCCTGAATTAAAACTTTCTTTTTACCCCGAGACAAATTTTCAAATTATGAATAGGGTTTTCCAGCTGTTGAATAAAATCAAACTGGGGCAAATTCTCACAAAAATGAACTTTTCAGGATTGGAATACTACAGGTGTTTAAGGAACAGACATGAAATTCATCTCATTTTGAAAAATAAAAAGCATTTAAATCCGTGTACAAGGGCTTCCTTTTTCTTGGCTGCAATGAGTGGAGAATTAACTCTGGGATAATAAATCCCAGTGACAGGTGCTAATGGGAATCAAGCATGCAAATCCCCTGCATATCCCTCCAGAAATCTACACCAAGAAAAGTATGCTATTTAGCATGTAGGCTGCTTAGTTATAATATTATTTACTATAAACTAGTATGGAGAAAGCTTGTAGCTTAAAGCTTATGACATAAAAAACAGTGAAAATGTATTTTAATTACAAAAATATTCTCTTTCATATCACCTTATATGTTTGGGTCTCTGTTTTTTGTATTTTTATATGTTTTAAAAAATGAATCATGTCAGAGACATTAACGGGAATACAGAAGAAGGAGGATTTCAGTGAGCATCAATAGGATAGTGAGGAGGAAACTCACTGTGAGTTGGGAATTCGTAGGCCTCAGGTAACATCACTGATAGACGTCCTTTGAGGTGAGACAGGTGGTCCAGATTCAGTTGGTTCAATGACCCTCTCTGCCTCAGTCATCGAAGGAAATTGGACTTAATGTAAGCCCATACACTCTGGGGGTTTATGCTTTATACTAATTGTATTAGACAAGACCTTTTAGGTTGCAAGTGATAGAAACCCAACTGAAACCACCTTAAGCAAAAAAGATAATTTATTGCTGAACATAACTTACAAGACATAGAAGAAAATATCTACATTAACAATGGCTAACATTTGTCACTCACTGTGTGTCAGTCACTATTCTAAGTTCTTTACATGTTCTATCTCATTTAATCCTTAAAATGAGGGTTCAGTTAAAGTACTGTTATTATCTCCATTTTATACAGGAGAAAACAGAGGAGTTAAGTAATTTTTCCAAGTCTGATTTCAGGGATCTTGTTCTGCATCGAATAATTTAAATACCACCACTCACAGGATTTAGACCTTCCCTAGTGTCCCCCAATCTCTCGGTTCTGCTCTCCTCTGTTTTAGCTTCATTCAAAAGCCCACAGTGTCCATACTGGGAGGTGGCAGTCCCAGGTTTATATTGTCTTTAACATTATCAGTCTTAAAGAGCACTCTCATTCCCATCTAGCTGACAAACTCCCAGAATCATGACCCTGGCCTATTTTGGGACACATACCCAAACCTGAGCTGATCATCATGGCCAAGTGATTAGAACATACTTAATGGCAAGATCTAGATCACGTGCCAATTTCTGGGACCTGGGAACTTGGAATGACAGTGGGGAGAAGAGGTTCCCCAAGAGGAAAATCAATATACTGAGAAAGAATACTAATATGAAAGAGGATGTGCCAAGAGAATGGATGTAGGGCAGACAAAATTACTCTGTCTAATCTGTGATGTGGAAGGGGAGAATGAGTTCTTCTC